ATCAATGTAAATAAAATTTTTTTTTAATTTTCTATTTTTTTGAGACAGAGTCTCGCTTTGTTGCCCAGGTTAGAGTGTAGTGGTGCAGTCTCAGCTCACTACAACCTCTGCCTCCCAGGTTCAAACGATTATCCTACCTCAGCCTCCAGAGTAGCTGGGATTACAGGCACTCACCACCACGCCTGGCTAAGTTTTTTTTTCTTACTATTATTTAGTAGAGATGGGGTTTTACCATGTTGGCCAGGCTGGTCTCAAACTCCTGACCTCAGGTGATCCGCCCTCCTCAGCCTCCCAAATTGCTGGGATTAGAGGTGTGAGCCACACACCTAGCCAAATCAAATCTTAAATTAAGAATACTATAGGCAGTACCTTTGCTAGGAACAAAATTGGTGAAGGAGGTTTGCACATGAGTTAATTTGCAAGCCACAAGTATAGTGGGAAGCAGACAGGATTTGCAATCAATTAAATGTGGGCTCGAGACCTGCTTCTAACTTGTCGGCTGTATGGCCCATGGACAATTCACAAACTTCCATAAACTTCCATTTCCTCCTACAAACTAGGGAGACAATATACTATCCAGAAGTTTGTTTTAAAGATTAAATGACACAAAGTATAAGAAGCACCTCCCGGGCAGCCAGGTACATAGTAGGCACTTGCAGTCCCCATCACAGTGTATTTCCCTAAAGAATGGAAACCTCTATTCTTGGCAACACCAAACAGGAACTTAACTCCAGCACCTACTGGGTATCTATGCTTGATAAATGAGTTCTTATCTGCTTAGGATCTGGAATCTATGGCAGGGGATCCTTCACGAGCAGCAACTAAAATCAAGAAAAGCTTTGATTTGGGCTGGGCACGGTGACTCACACCTGTAATTCCAGCACTTTTGGAGGCTGAGGCTGGCAGATCACGAGGTCAGGAGTTCGAGACCATCCTGGCCAACATGGTGAAACCTCGTCTCTACGCACATGGTGGTGCATGCCTGTAGTCCCAGACACTCAGGAGGCTGAGGCAGGAGAATCACTTGAACCCGAAAGGTGGAAGTTGCAGTGAGCCAAGATCGCACCATTGCACTCCACCCTGGCAACAGAGCAAGACTCCATCACAAAAAAAGAAAAGAAAAGCTTTGATTTGGAGAGTGGGCCAGATCAAGAATCATGGACCAAGAGGCCTCTCTACCCGCTTGTGCTGGCCTCCATTATTTCACAATGTTATCTATATCCTGCAGAGCTCAGGGGAAGTAGACCTGGAATATTCAGATATATGTACAAATAAAGACATGGATAATGACTCCCCTTTAGTTATCTGTCACTGTATAATAAACCACCCCAAAATTTAGTAGTATTAAACAACTACAGTCTTATGATCATCTCATGATTCTGTGGGTTGACTGGGTGGAGCTGGATGGTTTTGCTCTACATTATGTCAGGTGAGGCTAGAGTCAACTGGGAAATCAATTAGGCTGGGGCATCCAAGATTGCTAACGTCTGTGTATTAACCAGAATCTCAGCTGGAGCTATTGTCCCTATCATCTTCATTTTTGCTCCATGTGGCCTGTCCATGAAACTTGGGCTTCTCACAGCATAGCAGCAGGACCCTAAGAGGAAGGAAACCGAAACTGCTAGTCTCTTAAAGCTTGGATTTAGATATCTCAGAATATCACTTTCATTGCATCCAAAGCAATCACAGGACCAGTCCAGATTCTAAGAGAGGGGAAGTAAACTCCACCTCTTAGTGGTGACATATTTTTCAAAAAGGGAAGTAAAGGATTGAGAAAAGCCATCTTAGAAGACTACCCCACCTCCTAAAGCTTTCACTTTTTGCAAAAGGTTTTTACTCTTGAAATATATATATATTTCAACCAAGCAAATATGTACCTAGGAATTTATCCTAAGGAAGTAATCATAGATGCTTCAAAAGATTTGACACAAGGTTGTTCATTGGGATAAAATGGAAAACTATCCAATGCCCAACAACAGGGGACCAATTAAATCCAATGGTGATTGAGGACAGTGTTTTAAAAGTCCATTCTCTGGGAAGCAGGTCAAATTAAGCTTAAATCCCAACTCCATTACTTAGCCTCTCTGCGATGTTGAGCAAGGTACAGTACTTAAGCTCTTTACGTCTCAGTTTCTATATCTGTAAAATAAAGATAAAATATAGATTTTTGTGATGATTCAATGAGATGGTACATATAAATGGCTCAGCACATAGTGAATGATCAATAATTGTGAACTGCTATTATTTATGATAGTCATTAGTGCTATCATATTAGTGAAAATCTTTCCCATTCTCTCCATTTCCAGGCAAAAATATTTCTATGGATCTTTACAGTTAACTTTGTGATTAGTTCTGACCAATGAGCTGTAAGTGAAAGTGGCATATGTTACTTTCTGGCTGAACATTTGCTTGTCCAACATTATTAATTCTGAAGCTCCTGAATAAGGGTCTGTCTACTCCATGTATACTTAAAGCAAACGGGGATCATAGCACATAATGCAAAAGCCACCCTTGTCTTATTCCTCTTGTTTTCTCCTTATATGGTGCAAGTTCAGTCCATGTTAAACTGATTTAAAGACACTGCAACACATCAGAAGCCCCTCATCCTTGCTAGCATCCATGAGATCCAAATGCTTTGAAGATATGAGAACATAGCAGACCGTTTAGAGGGTTACCTGGCTTCCCTCCAGCCTGGCCCATTCCACCCTATATACAACCTGTCACCCAGCCAGAAGCAGGTGGCAATGAGGTGGTGGCAAGGGAAACTTGGCTTATGGAAAGCCCTCCTAAGTGATTGATCATCCAAAGGAGGTGCAGCCTCAAAATAGGAATCCTTTCGTTAAGGTTTGGGTAATTTCCATGGAAACAGACAGAACTAGACTTATATTAAAAGGGGAGCGGGCAGGGAGTGGAATGGCCTGGAAGGGGCATAAGGCAAGCGATGTAAAAATGTTGAAGTTGGTGTGGCGCGGCGGGACAGGACAAGGTGGGGGAAACGGGGGTCCCATATTTTTTTTTCTTTTTACTATTTTAGTTCATCCGGGGTGAGGCGGAGGTGGGGAGGAGATCAGGCAATTCTGATGTTGATAGCAAGTAAATTAGGTTCTTAGAGAGCATGTATCAAATGAGGATGAGAAAGAAGTGACCCAAACGATTACAGTCATCGAGAAGTTAACAGAATCCTGTAAGAGCCCCGCCAGGTCGCCCTTCAGGTCTGTGTTTCATCATGCAAGAGACTCCTTCCCAGGATAGAATCTTCTTTTATGGGCAATTAAAATGCAAACAGACAGACCCTACATCAGCAGTAACATAACAAACAGGTGCAGGCTAGTAAAAAAGTGTTGCATATGAGCTGTTTTAATTTCTGTTATAAAGGATTTCTGGGGAGCCAGCGGGTATGTCAGAAATTAGAGCCCTGGGCCAGAACTTACAAAAACCTTTTAGCTACTTCCTTCTCCCCAGCCTCGGAAATGAAAAAGCCAAAAGGTCACCCAGCGCGTCCGCCACCCAGTCAGTGCCAAGCCCAGCAGTCCTCACCCCAGTCCCGGTCCTCAGCGCTGTCCTCTCCGCTGCACACGGCCACCTGTTGATGCCCTCGCGCCCAGAGCCGAGTTGCAAACCGCCGCTAGAGTTCGTTCTAATTCCCCAGAGCAGAGCTGGCCGGGAAGCCCCGACGCGCCGCGCCTGCTAATCTGCAGGGCGGGCGGGGACTCCGCAAAGCCTCCCAGCCCCAGGCTCCCTTTGTTTACGCGCTGCGCTCGGAGCTTCGAAAGTAGCCCCTAGACCGCATCCCCTCGCCCCCGCCCGGAAGCTGCCCAAGCGTCCACAGGCCAGCGCAGGGGAAACAAGGTCCATCTGCGCAGGAACGCGCGGCGCAGACAGGTTGTCTCGGGAGGTTCCGAGGTGTGCTCGGATCCCGAATTTCTTAGAGCTCTTTAGCTGAGCACTATGGCCGGAGCTAGGCGCCCGAATGCAAGTTCACGGTTCCAAGGCCGCGGGTGAAGGGCCCTGCGATCCCCGACCGACTTTGCTCTCAGGCGCCGAGGGGAGCCGGGGGGGGGGGGTACTGGGGGTCCGCAGTGAGAGCTCCGCTCCCGCTGGGAACATCGGAGTCCCAATTCCGAAAGCGACCCGCCTGGCTTCCCAGGCACTTCCCTGCGAACCCCGCAGGGGTGTGCATTGCTTCGAATCTGAGAATTCCTGCGAACGCGGGCTCTACCAGAGTTTAAGTCGGCCCCTGGGGCGTCTGTTTGTTTATTAGCTCTTAAGGGAAAAAGTTTGAGGATCTTTAACCAGCCTCAGACCCGGCGCGGGCGGAAATCCCGGAATCTCCCCAGGCAAAAGTGATCTAACTTCAAGTCGTTGTATAAGTGGGGGCTCCTTCTTCCCTTCCCTACGCCCAGCCTTCTCAAGATCATTCCGGGAGTAAAATGTGTCTCGCTCAACAGAGTTTTTAAATCGTTATGATTATTTTCCGGAGCCTGCAGGCGGGCCAAGACGCACGCAGCGCCCGGGGAGCGTGGCGGCCCCACCCGCGCGCAGCCCCACGCACAGGGTCCCGGGCCCCGGGTGCCGCCAGAGCCGGGCCTGCAAACGCGCCCTTCGGTCCCACGGTCCGCCACTCCACGTGGTCAGGATCAACAGTTTGTTGAGCTCATCAGTGACACCTTGAACTTTTCATAAAGAAAATGGGTATTGCACCAGGAGGGTTTGGCCGCGGCCGCCGCGCGGGGTCGTGCTTAATATTCAATGATCTCGCTCGCGCCTCCCCCTCCTCTTCTCGCAGAAATTCCGAGTCCGTTACTGGGCTCAGACTTTTAAGTTAATTTACTGCCCCCCTACCTTGGCCAGTAACCAGCGCCTTTAGGGCTAGCCTCCCCCCCTCCCCCAAGCTCCCGCCTGAAAAAATGACATTTCGCCAGCGTCTCCGGAGGGGGCTGAATTTCACTTTGTAACTTTCTGCGGAACCCGAGCCCGGGTGGCAGCTCGGGTGGTGGTATCGTATGCAAATACGCATGCTGACGTTACAGATCATGTGGGTTTTGGCGTAGATTCCCCACTGATCGAGGCATTTTTTTCCCCTTTTTTTTCCTTTTTTTTTTTTTCTTTTAAAAATTTTGGCCATCGTTCTCCGTACGGGGGCTTTTTCTGTCTGTCTGGCTGGCTGGCAGGCTGGCTTTCCCCCTCTTTCCCACGGAGCCCGAGCCGGGCGCCCGGTGGGGAGTGGGGAGTGGGTGGGGGGAGCCAGCAGAGTTCCATTTTGGAACGCCCGTGCCGCGTCTCCGCGTTCCCAGCCCGGCTCCCCGCGTTCCCAGCCCCGGCGCAGGTAAGAAACTTCGCCTCGGCGCGGAGCCCCCCCAGCCGGCGCCGCCAGCCCCGAGCCCCGCACGCCGGGCGCCGGCCACTCCAGCCCAACTTTCCCACCGCCGCCGTCGCCGCCGCGGCTCCCGAAAATGTGTTGTTAATGGGACTTGGCCGGGTTTGTGATTGGAAGGGGGGTACGGAAGGGGGGGGGGTGTGCAGGCTCTTTTTGCGGGTGGGAGGAAATGAGCGGATACAGAGAGGGAAGGAGATTTTTTTTTAAAGAGTTTTGATTACAAGTTTGGATAAATGGGAGCCAGAGCGAGGAGGAGGAGGAGGAGGAGGAAAAACATGTCTACGTTTCCCTATGTCGACATAAGCCACAAAAAAATATGGCGTCCGCTTTCGACAGGGCGTTACGTAGACCCGACTGTTTTTATTTATTTATTTCGTGCCGTCTCCCTCCCTTCTTGGCCAAACTGCGGCGCTTTGTGCAAACGGGGCAGGTCCCGCGGGGACTCCACCGGGACGTGGCCCCGTCTCCGCGCGTTTTGGCAGGCGGGGGGCTGCGTGTGTCTGCTCCCCTCCCTCCCCCTCTCCCCTCGCTCCCCTCTCCCGGTGACGATTCGCCGTAATGTGGTGGCAGGAAGCATGACGCCGTGGGCCGAGGCCGCCTCTGCTCTCGTCGCTCCCGGCGGCTGCAGGCAGCGGGCGCGCAGCGCGGGCGGCCGCCGAGCTACCTGGCGGGGGCAGGGCCGGAGCGCGGCGCAGTCCTCACCCCTGCTCAGGTGCAGGGGGAGCCTGCCCGGGGTCCGGGGCCGAGGGGAGCTGCGGGACCCCCCGCCCGGCTGTCCGCTGCCGGCCGGCCCGAGCTTCTGCCAGCCAGAGCCCACGTTCGCCGCCCACCCCCCGCCCCCAAACGGCAGCTGGCGCTTTTCGTCTGCCCCACAAGAGGTTAATCTTTGTTGGTGTTGCAGCTTCTTTGTGGCTTCCCCAGGACTTGGTATCCGCGGCTTTGCAAACTTGCCCTTTTCCCAGCCGCTTTGCAGGAGGCTGCGGAGACGCAGATGAGCGGAAAGTTGGAAAGCAGCAGGCATCACAGGACGGTCTCTTTGGCCTCGTAGCTGTGCTGAGACTGGGAGGCGGAGGAGGAGGGTTTGTCAGGCTGGGGAGAAAACTTGATGGGGAAGCCAAATTGTGATTTGTTCAGGTTTCCACCTGATTGATAGGCTTCAAAGCCAGTGGGGGCTCTACCTTCAACTGTTTCGTGGCGGCCTTTTGTTTGTGTGGGGCGTGGAGAAGGATGAATCCGGACTTTCCCTCGACCCCTCCCCTTTTAAAGACTGGTTGCTCAGCTTGGCCCCCTGGGACGCTGCCTATTAGGCCCTAGAGTTCTTCCCCAACCTGCTCTCTGATCACTTTCTCTCTTTTAAGTTAGCACATCCTCAAGTCTCAGGCAGGCCCTGAAGAGCTGAATGGAGGGGTTAGGGGGAGAAGATTCCTTCCCCAGCACTTCTTGGATTGCCCAGACCTCCCACAATTACCCTCTATAACCACACACACACACACACACACAAACACACTCTCTCTCTCTCTCTCTCTCTCTCTCTCTCTCTCTCTCTCTCTCTCTCACTGTCTCCTTTATATAGGGCGGAAATTAATGCCTATAGAAGCGAAGGGAATGAGGCTCTGAGAGCTCTTCAAGATTTGAGTAGAAAGGTGATTTTCTGTTTATGAGGGCAGCGAGTTTAAGCAGTTCACTCCCAGGGCAGTAATGTCAAAAAGGGTTTGGATGACGACCAAGTGGAATAAATATCTTGTAAAATGGCATGTTTAATAGTAAAAATAGATTAATGGAGCCGTCAAGTGGTTGAATGGGACTAGCATAAAGGTTTAAGTTTAAAGGGAAAGTTACGTAAAGCTGTAGACACAGCTTCTTTTAAGGCCAGAAGGGGAAAAAATCTGTAAGTAAGGCTGAAATGTGTCACTGACAATAATTGGACCGGTGATGTGTGGAAATATCATCGCCTTTTGAATACTCTGCTCCGGGCGACTGTTGTCTTGTGCACTTACACCTTTCTTTCTAGCCAGGTTTGCCATCAGCTAAAGGATGCACCTGCAGATCGTGCTTAAGGGGAAAAATGCAAGAAAACAGAGTTTTAGGGCACATCAGCTATATCAACTAGTGTCCATTTAAAGGGGAAAAAATGCCACCCATTTGTAGGCACTGAAGAAAGGATATTCCTGGTGATGTAAGTGCGGTGTATCTTGACATGCTGAAAGGTGACCCCACCCCATGTTTCTCATCCACATCAGGACCATGTGATTTGGCAGGATGCTGTACACTTATCAAAAAGAATCATGGCAATGTTTGATAACAGTTGCTAACACTGTTACAGTGTGTGAAGCACGATGCTGTATATTTTACATGCTTTATCATTGAATTCTCACCACAACCCTGTGAGCTAAGTACTATTATTTAAAAAAAAAAAATATGGAACGCTTCACGAATTTGCGTGTCATCCTTGCGCAGGGGCCATGCTAATCTTCTCTGTATCGTTCCAATTTTAGTATATGTGCTGCCAAAGCGAGCACGCTAAGTACTATTATTATCTTCCGTTTATGGTTGAGGAAATGGAGACTCCCAGAGGTGAATAAACTTGCCTGAGCAACACAGCAAAAAGCAAATCCAGGCCTAACTTCATAGCCTTAACCAGTCCATTGTAGTAGCATCCAGATAACGTGAAGTCACAGAATAAAAAAGTAAAGACTCAGGTACAGGCAGAAAAGAGGAAACGGTAGCCACCATCCTGATGTCTGAACACCAGAATTTACCTCGATTTTATTCCTTTATTCATTTATTTAGCAATTGTGTGTTGATTTCTTTATTCATTCAGCGACTGTAGTGTTCATTATACTAATAAGGACCCATACTCATTAAGCACTTTTGTATGCCAGGCACCATCCCAAGTGCTTATGACTAGACTATTTTGTCTTCATAACAACTCTGATGTAAGTACTCTCATTCTCTCCTTTTTCTAGATGAGGAGGCACAAGCCCAGAGAAGTTAGCTAACTTGCCCAAGACCAAACAGCTAATAAGCAAAGTGGCACCCCCGGAACACACACGCTCTGCTGTTGCAATGCAGAGTGCATAACCAGATGTTATGGAAATGCTGGGGAGACAGAGCCCCCTGGCAGAAACGCAAAGCACTGCTTACTGCAGGCACTATGGAGACGCTGGTGGGATAGAGACCTCCTGCCCTCTGGGAATCTGGGCCCACTGCAGGGAGGCACTCATTAAGCCAAATCAAGCAGGCTTAGTTAAATGCTCTAATTGAGAAAAGTAACCACTGTGGAAGCAAAAGGAAAGGCATGAATCTTCTACCCTGAGGGGATCACAGAGGATCTCCTAGAGGTGGGAGCAGCTGAACTGCCCCATGAATGAAGAGGAACAATGTTTTCAGGTGTAGCGGGTATCATTGCATTCAGCTGCTAGCAGCAGAGTCTTGACTACCAGTGACTTAACCAGACACGGACTTTTTTTGTGTCAGACAACAACGGAGGGGTAGGGGAGCAGTGAAGGGGGACGATGCCTCAGCTGTACCATTGGAAACCGAGACTACTTCTTTCTATTCTGCCATGCTTAGAGTGGAGGTCTTCGGTCTTAGATTTATCATCTCTGGTAGGAAAGTGGCTGCTACATCTCCAGGTCTCACATTTGCATTCCAAGAAAGAGAAAAAAAGAATGAATGCGGCTCAAAGACGTTTTACCCAGTATAGTGTCACTGCTGTATCTGGGAAGGGGCACCTCTCTCAGAGACTTCTGTTCTCAGCTCATCAACCAGAGCTGTACCACATGGTGACTCCTCCAGGGAAGAGCAATCAAGTATTTTTAGTTGGGCCCATTGCTGTCATGAACAAATTGGAGTTCAACCTGTAAGACAGAAGGGGTGAAAGGAGGAATGGGTGTTGAGTTGGCAGGCAGGGCATGTGCTGCCCAAGATGAGAAGAGAAAGAAGGGCCCTGGGAGCAGTGGGCAGGTGCCCTAGGGAGGTGGAGAGGGGGACGCAGGGAAGGCTGTGCAAAGAGATGATGCCAGGCTTGGGAGTGGACCTGGAGGAGGTTGGATTTTAATCTCTAGGTACTAGGGAGCCATGGCAGGTTTCTGAAGAGGGATTATCACGTGTTTTGAGAAGGGAAGACTAAGACTGACAGCAGAGTACCTTGTGCAGACAAAAGAGCTTGGTTCTTTGAAATAAAATGAGTTCTGGAAAGTTTCAGGCCAGGGGACCAGTTTTGCCTTAGGGCAAGAAGAGGACAATGTGCAATAAAGAAGTGAGGGATGATTTTCTTTTAAGTCCTGTCAATAAGAATCCAAACTTAACCTGATGCGAGTCAGCTGTTACAGGGAGGCAATCAGCTGTCCTTTCTGGATAATTCAGTTAATGGGACTGGAAACACTGGAAGGGGTACCATTTACTCTCCAAACACACTGGCTTTTTTCCTGACCTTCAGGGCTCCTGGGCCCCAGCCGCAGCTCCACCACTCACCGTCAGGATACCTTTGGCCATGACCCTCACCACTGCTTTAAATCAAGGAGATGATATCAGAGGATGTCAGAGGCCTTCCCAGCATCAGTGACGTCACTGCACTGCAGCCTGCGGAATGCAGAGGGCCGGCCTCACTGATTTTCTTTGCTCAGGGTATTACCTTTATGACTTTGAGCTATTACTTACCTCAATTTTCTTATCTCTGAAATGGAGATCATTTTAGTAGCTGCGGTATGAGTTGTTAGGAAACCTAAGAAATTTGTAAAAAGGCTTAGCATACACCTCACACATGAATTGTGCTCAACAAATCACCATCATCACTGCAGTCACCCCAAGGAAGTGACTTGATTGTAAATTTGAGGTACCGAGTAATTAGCATGTGTGGATTTCATCATCAGTCCCAGGACCCTGATTCATCTCATTGCCATTCCCCTTCTGCCTCCCCCCACCCCCAGTACACACATGCACTCATT